AGTTGAGATTACCAGGATGGAGTGCTCGTTTTTAAGCGGTGCACAAATGAAGGATAAGTCATAAACACTGAATTCCGGAACGAGAGTGACCAAGGAAGGGCGAGATGCAGGCTTGACAACGATGGTGGGTCGGAACTCTGCAAGGTGACCATCCCTAGATTGTGAATCCCAGCGCTCTTTACGTATACCTCGATCTATCACCACCTCTGTCGCTGCACACCATTCTGAGTGATGGGGTTATCACCACTTAAGTTATCGTGGTAAACTAAAGTATACAACGGCAATGCCGTTCTAAGGAACAAATGAGCTGCGAAGCAAAGACTGTTAGATGTTGTGGAGTTCGAAAGATCACATCGCTTACAAATGTTTAAGACGATTTTCAAATCAACTTCGGGGGCGCTTTGTGTAGGGCTTCAGCACTACAGTAAGGGGAGGCCGATCTTTCTCATTCCGATTACCGACCCACCTTAATACCTCTGTTTACCGTGGGGACGTCCCAGTTGCAAAAGCTTAAAGCGACTCGTTCACTTGATTAGCTCGTACCAACAAACTGCACTGCTATTGTTGATGATAATATGGGGGAACTGATGGCTCCACCGGCGCTATGCATGGAAAACACTGCAAAGTTCACTGTATCCAAGCGACGACCGTCAAGGAATTTTGAAAATGGTCGTTCAAGACAGTTGTGTTAAGCAGGACTTGGCCCCCACCAGAATACCGTCTGCTTCGTTGCTGCTGATTCAACTAAAAAAGGGAGAGGTTCATAATCCGGAGTTCTCGAAAACGGACTTCTCCCAGTTTTTTGCCTCGAAAGCTCAGGACTTCTAGGCAAACGGCATTCACGAGTCACCTGCTGAAAGGCAATATGTTGACGATTATGGTGGGGCATATGAAAGTGAATTGCTGACTGGGCTAAGAAGAAAAGTGGTTTTGAAAAAAAAATTCACGAATGGGCAAAGACTTTCAACGCAACCTAATAGTACACTGCGTTTCATAATTATAGGTCCACCCTAATTTTTTGCTATTCCAAAGTTGCTGTGCATTTTTGGAAAATGCCGCTATTACCAATAGTTTCCCCATAACGAAAAACCTTGATACTCGATTTCTGGAGAAATCTCGATTCAGAATTATTAAATATCTTTTTTAGAACGTATTTTCACCGTTTCGCAAATATGACTACACATCACTTGTCGAGAGATTTTATTATAACAAAAAAACGTCAAAAATTTTCAATAATGGGATGGTCCTCCATTAGTCATAAGGAACACAATAATACGTTTTGGAATGCTGGTAACCAAATTAGCTATTACAGTAGGATCGAAATTTGTCTGGCGCTGATGATCGACGTTTTCAGCTCTTCGGCTGTTCCATTTTGCTTTTCTTTGCTGTGGAACTTTATAACAATTAAGGCCCTGTGATTCTCCATTGGAAACTGATTCATATAACATGGTGGCCAATAGATAACTGCCACATTTTTTCCTGCACTTCCATCTGGCGTGTAAGGACCGGCATGGACAGCTGCGTTATCGTGCGTAAAAATCAAGGTTCGAGAGGGCTGTTGTCGAAAAGATGGTAAAAGTCGCTTCAGAAGGACTTAACGATACCCTATGGAATCCTCGTGAAAGGAAACAAATACGAGCTCTAGCCGCTCAGTCGTTCAAAGGTGCCTCAAACCACAAGGAATTCTCCGCCAAAATTACCTTACTTCAAAACCATCTGCGATTTTCACGGAACCCTCCTGTACCCTCTTTTTCTATCAGATCCACCTAGAATAAACTTTTTCACGTCGATCCAGATCACCTGTAGCATGAAACAAGGAGGTGGAGTCCAAGATCGCGAAGGGTCTGGCAGCCACACCTTCGTTCATTAAGTTGAGCCCTTTTCCACGGAGAAATGGAGACGTGCGATCTTGTAGCGCTCAAATAATCTTGGGGAACGCGCTTCATCAATCCGCTGAAGATGTCATTGCTCTGCTGGCTTATTCACAACACGGTGGTTTTGCTTACGGAAGGCCGCATTTCAGCACGGACTTTGTTCGGACGCCTTATCCAATTCGACAGAAGACGCCCAATTCCTCTTGATTTTCAATGAAACGCTGTCATTATTTACCAAGGCTACTCTTCTTCCCGCACAGACCGGGATTTCGCACATAGTTGCTTATGCATCATGAGCCGGCCGACATGGGAGGCAGTTCTGCTTCTCAGCCATCAAACTTCAGTAAGGGCTCTGGTTTGAGCTTATCACTGGGAAGAGATACGAGTAATACGAGGTATGGCAAACTCGACGTCGACTAAGCTCACATATATCCCCGCTTCCCTCATTCCCTTCACGGATCATGAGAAATGGAAACTTTTATTAGTGGGCCCGATTTTCATGAAACGGTGAAAATTCGTTCTGAAAAAGTTAATTGGGTTACTTGAAGGGGGGAACTTTGTCAGAAAAACACTATGAAGGTTTTCCGTGATGAGGAATCTAACGGTGATAGCAGCATTTCCAAAAAATGCACAGCAACTTTGGGGTAGCAAAAATTTAGGGTGGACCTATAATTATGAAACGCAGTGTATTAAGCCAATTTTTACTTTTAAAGCTTTCCTCCCGTTAGAATGAAGCTCGAGCTATGCATAGTACTTCATCGGAACACACACTCTTCAATAACTGGTCAAGCGGGTGATCCTAATTTGTTATGAGAACCTTGAATTTATTTCGAACTCACCGCGTATCGATCCGATGTCTGACGATCACTATCTTCAACAAATTGATCCGGAAAGAAAGCATCCGATCGAAGCTCTTCGTCTAATGCTGAAAGGAGCATCTGTCAGTGGAGGGTAGCACTTCAGAAGTAACACCATCGTTCTGCCTTCTACTGTGAATACTTCTCCAGGATTATATTTCTGTATGATCTATTACACTTTTCTGAGCGGGACATTGTGTACAGGCAATCAGCGCCGTTAACTATGTACGGCCCGCATAGGGATCGAATTCATGGATACTACGCCAATCAATTTTCTTGTCCCTACTGGACCGGGGTAACTGTGGCCAGAATTGTCTGCGATTATAAATAGCCCTACTAGCACATCGTGGCTAGTTCGTAAGTCATTGTTCAGCTAAATCACATTTAAAAGTTGCTAAGAGTCCCAGTGGAGTAGGAATACGTGGCTCATAAAATAGAAACTCGTCAGCGCTATATGCTTCGGGGTTTTGCTATAATAAATATATTATTGTTTCATAAAACAATGTAAATACTGGGATTCTGAAAATCTCACCGATCCTCTCCAAGCTGGACTCCAATTTTCTTCGATGATTCGATGAGATCTTATATGTTATTTCAGGTAGTGAAAATTGCGGACAACTCTCCAGAAGTTCGTGAACAGTTGACACCTTCAAAGTTAAGCTAAAAACTTCAAAACAGAATGGTTCCCCGAACAACTCGCTCATTTCGTGTCCACGGAATAATCTCAAACGTTTTGCGGATTCCGTGTTCACAGATATGTATATGATAGGAACTGCCCCATCAACTAGCGGGTTCTGGATAACGGAGAGGAATAAAAACAAGAGAATCTTTTGCTTCAACAACTCTAAATAGACCAGCCATGCATACATCCTCAACTCCGAATCCATCCCTTGTTGCTGTAAATGGAAGCCACATTGAGTTCATGGATTGATTCCAAACGAAAAGGTGCTTGGACTGTTTGTGAGTTCAAAATGCGCTTGACAGTATTGTATGGGGTATTGAAGAGATTGGAGGGTCCCACTCAAACCCAGATTCATATCGAGCACTCCGACCTCTAGAGATGGAGTAAATAAAGAATATGGAACCCCTTGTTAAGAATACGAAATTATTCACATTTGTGATCTCAAAAATTGCGTTTGTTTCTTTCGAGCACATATAGGTGTGCCCAAAGCGCAAGCATTGGAACCGCTCCGTCAGTCCGACTAGAAAACTCGAAAATGTTCCTCATTCAAGCACTAAAAACCCCTACTCGAATAACCAGTAGCCCTACTTGTACACCCCCAACATGGCACAAACTGATCACGGACCAAAACTTTTCAAACGTTCCTGTTGTGATAAGGGGGCTACTTTTAACAAGTGGTTTCTTCACAGGGCTCTGGATTGGCCCTTTCATTACTATTTTGGGTAATTATGCAATTGCGATGAGGGCCATTCAAGAACGTACCGGTTCCACGGATGCATCGGGGTGAAGAGCTGTCGGCTGCTGAACGCTGTTTTCCGAAAACAACGTACAAACACCAATCGACTGGAAAAACACATCGTCAGGGAGGTGAAAGAAAACGAGAGCTTGTCAAACACATAAAGCGAAACAGGTGCAAGCATTGAAAACTGAAGCGGATCTTCTCTTACTATTCACACATCCATCTTAAAGGACGAATTCACGATGAAAAAGCAACCCATTTCAAATTAACCTAGGGATGGTGAGTGGTACACGAAAGAAGGAAGAAACCATGAGAAACGGCCCAGAACCCGAGAAATGGGACCCCTTCCTTGCCCGTTGATTTGAGCATTGATGCGACTCTCATCGCTGTGCCCTCTTCAACACTACGCTCTCTCAGCTATCTAATCACTCGCCACGTATTGAACTACGGCGAGTGATCAGATGATCGGTGGGCGGAGATCGCCGGACCCGCATGATAGGTCGCCGAGGTCAAATTTTTCCATGCGAATTGCGCGTCAGTTCGCACCCTCAGGAGGTCCGTGGGTCCCTCAACTAGGTCAGTTTCCCTTTCTTCGACCTTCATTCTAATCGTGAATTCCTCCTTTCGTTACAGGAATCACCCACCGTATCTTTATAAGGCGTATATACGGCCGCTTTGCAAAATGACATATTTTCAACACATCGTTCAACACAGCGCTCTGGTGTTGGCAAGTGTACACGTTGAAGTACAGCCGTTGACGTGAAGACGTATCGCTTCCGAGAGCACACACGCATTCCATAAGCTGAAAACCGATGTGCTGATCAACACTCAAGTTAGGAAAAGTGTGAACAAAAAGGTTGTCAAAAAGGACGAGTTTGCAAGGTCCTTCAAAAATGCGTGTTTTTTTAGTGACAATCTTTTCGCTTTTTAGGAGCCGTTGCGAAAATCCGCAAGTAGACAGAGAATTCAGCTTTGGAGTGGTTGCTGATGATTCAGAACAGCGCGATTGGGCAATGCCTATGATATATAGATAATAAAAAATCACTAACCCTCCACGCTCGCAACTTTTCAGATCTGTTATATTCGGTTGTCCCATAATTCCTGTCCGAATTTTTGATCAGTTTCAATTTCTTCAAGTCAAATTAGTTCATTGCGAAATATGTTGGTATGTCAAAGAGTCAATCTAGACCGTTAGCCCGAACGCTTTGAAAGGTCAAACCCGCGTTGGAGGAACTGGGAATAGACCTGCGACAATAACGAACTACTATGCTTTATGACCCTTAAATAGACGCTGTTTGCAAGGAGGACACTAGAGAAGATCAGCGCTGTGTTTGGCTCAGTCTCTGCTACTGATCGGTCACTGAGCTGGAGGTTCGGTCGCAATGGCAAAGACAATACGCGCTGTGAAAATCAGCCTCATCCTGAGCCTCCACTCACTTTCGATGGAATCCATGGATTGGAAGTGCACACGGACGCTACTACCAGGGGTATTGTAGCAGACACCTGGTCGCAGCCGATGCACTAGCACACGCCATCAGGATGGAGTGGGCAGTAGCCGAATGAAGACTTGATAGAAACCATATGCACCGACCGGCCATGACCGAGAAGATGGTCTGACCCTGTGGCAGGGTCAACCCTACGTTGTTACTAGCAACAACGGGGGGATCTTACTTAGTTGAGTTTGTGGGAGGGAGGTCGTACCCGTTTCAGTCGCTTGAAATCACATGTGAGTTTGAGGGTGAAACGAAAGTTTTCTGGATGGTAGGTAGGTGAGTGAGTCCCCCCCCCTTTTTCAAAGTGGCTGTAGACGGCATTTTGGAGGAAAAAGTGGGCGGAGTTTGGTGGGTTGAGTGGTACCAGAATTAAATACTATAGAGAGGATGATGGTGGTCGAGGTGTCGAAAAGGGGGTCGTATCAAATCCACCTTGGGGGAGGGGGGTCGTAAAAAATTTTTCAAAAAGTAACAACGATAGGGTTGACCCTGCCCTGTGGGGGGAATTTCATTCTGTGACCTCAATAGCAGAGCGTTCCCTAGTTCATCACTAGTGGGGATTAGTCATGAGTTCACTACGACAACAACACACGCACGCCTGGGACGGTAGTAAAGTGCCCTAGACTGGCAGTCAAATGTGGTGATTTACATCCATTGGCGAGGAGTAGAGAACGTGGAAACATGGACATGACCCTCGTTGAAACCGCGAGCCTCGCCACCCGACCTGCAAAACTTGCAACTCTCTCGGAATTGAGCCCTGGATGGTAGGCTCATAGGCTGGTTTTTTGCCACTGCACCAGGGATCACTCGACCACAACACTGGAAGAGATGTTGATGAAAGGTATGCAATGGATGTTGCTTGCAAGTCTTAGTCTCCAAGCGGTGCTGATCCAGCAAGCTTGCCAGCGGCAGCGTGGAACGTCCCCATTGATCCAATGGCGGTTTGCCCATAGGCGAAGTGGTGAGCATCCACCACGTTGCTTGCAAAAGTCGCGTCACACACGGGTTTGAACCTTCGGTGCATCGTCCCATGAGCGGCATCGCTACCACTGCACTATGGAGCCCTTCTTATTGACGGTGAAAGAATTCTAGAGGAAAGGCAATAACCCACAAAAGTTGCAAAGATTTTGACATCTAGTAGTATCGATCCCGTGGCCGGCTCAACACAAACGTGGACCGCAGGCGCTACACCATTGACGGATCAATGCAAGTTGCTTCCCTTTCCCTTTTCAACTTACTGCGTTGACCCACACAGCCTGGCTGTTTGGAGATGGCCATCTCTAAAAAGTCCTCCGGAGGACTTTTTAGAGATGAAGTGGCAGCATGTTTGCGCCCTCCACCGCGCGCGCACTATTTCCTTTTCCTCTGCCGCCATCGCTGTTAGTTTATAAATGACCACCCTGCTAATCCTCTTACTAGCACGTGATGTCATCACCCCAACTTCCAAGTAAGTTCGAACTCACTTCGACCATTCCGACGGGGAATCTTCGGAGGGGTTCCAGAGGTGCTCTACGCATCTTTTAGGGAGACATGGATGGAAGCCATGACCAAGTTACCACGAGCTCATGGTCACATGGTAACTAGCAGTTGAGGCCACTTTACTACCGTCCCTGATGGCTACTCGCAGTCAGGCCTCACCAGCTCGCAAAACCACCAAACTCTGTGGTCAGAGAATATTGCTTTTGATTTGTTAGATTGAGTGGGCCATCCGTTTTCACAGTTGTTTTGCTATATGCGGACAAGTATTGCGAATGCCATCGTGGAACAGCTCCCGAGTTGGCCGCAGTAGTGGGAGAGAACCGTCTCAAACGTCCCAAAATCCCCTTTTCCGAATAGACGCCCGACCTCACATTGCAAAGATAACTCGCTACGTCTGAGGGAGATTGGCTGACCATGATACCATGCCCATCGTATAACCCTGGCATCACTCCATCGGACTATCCCTTTCAGAGTGCTTTGAGCCAGCAGCTGCGAGAGAGAAAAGTCACCTAGTACAACCGCTCCAAACGACCTTGCTGAAATTCTTCAGCTCAGCTTCACCCATTCTAGGAGGAAGCATCCAAAGGTTCCCTGGTGAATGGATGCATATCGGTGATTATGGTAATGGTTATATTTTTGATCAATTGGTTTTTGAGAAAGATAAAACTCGATGAGAAGAAAGTGTCGAAATTCGGACAGGAATTATGGGACAACCCAATACAAATCCCGGGCGCACTAATCAAAAGCTGATAAGCTGGCGATTTCAATAAATGCGCTAACACATACGTAAATATGTACATATACATAAATTACTAAAACGCGCAAATCAGCTCAAGAATGATGCGCACTGTGCCCACTGCCAGTTCCATGGCTTGAAACGTAGATGACAATTTCATTAGAAGGATGGTCCTTCCTCCCTAAATCTGCCCGAATGGAGCTCTCTACATAGATTGGTGTTTGCTGTCTTTTCATAAAAAAACTGTCAATCTCACCGAATCACATCGAAAATCGGAGATCAATAAACTTCAAAAAAATCGTGCACAGAAAATCTGTTCTTCATTATGTGATGGGTCGTGGAATTATGTGGTGCATGACCCCAGGCATAGTACTGAGCAAGAAAAATGAAATAAACATCCAGGTAGAAGCTCAACATGGACGCCTCTGGATCCTTGGGCAGAGCTACAAGAGGGCTCATGAAAGGACGTACACAGCAACTTGGCCATTTCAAGATTCAATGACGATCAAACATGGAACTTCTCAAAATTTACGTGTTCAACACGCTTTTTCTTGTTAGAACCACACCGCCAACATTAACTTCGTATAGCATACATTATACGAAGTTATACGAGCATATCATGTTATTGCGGGGATTACTATAGCGAAGCAATGCTCCATTGCTGTACGTTCTATTGAAACACCTCATTTGAGCACGGCTCCTAAACATGGCTTTTGGTTGAGAAGAGGTTCGCTGTTTCTATCGTCAATTACTTGAAGCACTCACCCAAGAGAAAAGAGCTCACCCAAGAGAAAAGTTCCCACTACAATCCGATTGGGAAATCGGTTCATTCAGAATGGCTCTATTAACATCGCTCGAGCATGTGCATACTCTTATACACAGGTCCTTCTCTAAATTACCACTCAAAGACAGAGTTTGTGATTAGAAGGCAGCCTATTAGAATTAGGTAGAGAAAGGAACCGGGATGAAGAAAAAACCATAGAAAACCGCCCAGTTCCGAAAAATGGACAGCATGTTTGTCCGCTAATTTTTGGTTGACTCTCATCCAGTGCTGCCCTCCTCAACGGTCATGCTCTTTCTTCTAAACGGCTCGAATCTGTTGTGGTTAGTCAGATGGTGGGCGCGGCGCGTCGAAAGCGTCACGGGGAGGCCATGCTATATCGCCGGAGCATATCCTTCGCTGCGAATTGCATCGGTCCGCACCATTCCGTCCACTAGGTAAGTTTCTCTTTTTCGACCTTCTTCTTCTTCTTCTTCTTCTTATTCTTTAGCGTCTGTCCCGCTTGTAGGCGGGGTCCGCTTTTCTTATGTGTTGACGCCACTTTTCCCGATTAAATGCTTGATCGGGGTGGATATTAACTGACTTCAAGTCTACGTGCAACGTATCGAGCCATCGCTGCTTCGGGCGCCCCCTAGGCCGCTTTCCGGGCACGTCAAGGTTGAGACCGATCTTACAGACACTGTCATCTTTCGCGCGAAGGACATGACCATACCATCGAAGACGGGCTTCGCGCATCTTGTCGACAATTGGAGCCACCCCGAATCGCTCTCTGATGACATCGTTTCGGATGTGGTCTACTCGTGTGACTCCGGCTGTCCATCGCAGCATCTTGGTCTCCATCACACTGAGCCGTGCTTCGATCTCTTTAGTCGTAGGCCAGCACTCAGCACCGTAAATCGCGACCGGCCGGATGACGGTCCTATAGATCTTAGATTTGAGACGTTCTGGCATGTTTTATCGCAGAGAACGCCAGTCATCGAGCGCCATTTCGACCAGGCTGCATTCACGCGAGAATTCGTTTCGAAGACCAGGCTGCCGTCAGACGCGATTGCTGATCCAAGATACTTGAATGATGTTGCACGAGTGAGTTCAGTACCATTGATCTTAATAGAGCCTAACTCACTCGAATCGGTGGTCAAGTACTCAGTCTTTTTGACGTTCAGCTTGAGCCCGAACATAGCTAGACGGTCGGACCAGGCTTGCACCTGTTGCTCGAGCGTGCTTTTATCTTCGCTAGCGAGCATCACGTCATCAGCATAAAGAAGCGTCCATGGAGCCGGCTTCTGGAGATCTCTCGTAATGGCA